ATTAAGATGAGAGTGCTTCACAAAACAAGTCTACTGATTCAGCAAAACCCTTAGCAAAATCCAAGTTSGCTTTTCTGCACCAATAAAAAAAAATCATATACAAAAGTAAGAAACCCAGAATAACAAAGTTATTTCCAAAGGTGGAAGATTCACAATTCCTAATTTCAGAACCTACTGCAAAAATATAGTAATCAATATTAAATGGCATTGACATGAAGTCAGAAATATAGCTCAATGACAGAATGAAAGTTCAAAAATAAACTGTTGTGTATAAAGTTAACTGATATGCCAAAAATATTCAACAGGGGAAAAATACATCTTGTCAATAGATAGTGCTAAGACAACTGGGTATCAACATGCAAAAGAATGAAGTTGGACAACTACTTCACACATATGCAAAAATTAAATTCATAAGGAATAAAATACCTAAAGATAGAGATAAAAGCCCTTAGAAGAAAACAAGGGTATAAACACTTTCGATCTTGAATTAGACAAAAGTTTCTTGAGCTATGACACCCGAAACCTAAGTAAGCTTTAAAAGAGGAGAGGCTTAATTAAGATTTAAAACTTCTGTGTGTCAAAAGACATTATTAGTGGGATTTGGTGGTGGTGCTTGTAATCAACTGGAGGGGAGGCAATAGGATCACAAGGTTGAGGCCAGTATGGGCAATTAAAAATAAAAAGGGGGGCTGGGGATRTGGCTCAAGCCGTAGCGCGCTCGCCTGGCATGCGTGCAGCCCGGGTTCGATCCTCAGCACCACATACAAACAAAGATGTTGTGTCCGCCAAACACTAAGAAATAAAAATTTAAAAATTCTCTATCTCTTAAAAAAAAATAATAAAATAAATAAATAAAAAGGGCTGGGAATGTAGCTGAGTGGAAGAGTGCTTACCAAAACGCACCAAGGCCCTGGGTTTAATCCTCGGTATGAARGAGAAGTTTAAAGAATAAAGTTTAAAGAAATGATGTTTACAAACTATATATGTGGTAAGAGCCTACTATCTTAGAAGACATAAAACACTTTTTTGAGTCACTAGTAAATTAAAAATAACCCAATTTTAAAAATAGGTGAAGGATCTGAAYGAAAATTTCCCCAAGGAAGACATACTAATAATGGTCAATAACCATWAAAAAAGATGCCCAATATCAAGTCATTAGGAAAAGACAAATCAAAACCACAATGTGATATCTCCTGACACTGATTAGAATGGCTACAATAAACCAAATTTTTAAAAAATCACAAGTGAAAAGTATTGTTAGTGAAGATGTGGAGAAACTGGAACACTTGCACCTTGCTAACGGAAGTGTAAATGGTAAAGCAGCTATAGGAAACAATAGTTTGGTAGTTCCTCAAACAGTTAAACAGAATTAGCATATGATACAACGTATGATTATATTTCCATATGGTATGATTATATTTCCATATGGTATACACCTGGGTGTACAGCAAAGGAATTGAGAACAAACACTCAAACAAATGTATGTACATACTGGCTCATAGCTTCTTCGAGAGCTAGCATATGCTCCCAGAGAAATAGTGGCCCCCAGTTTTTGAGTTTGTCTCTTTTTTTCCTCTCCCAGATCTTGGCCCTATATTTCTTAACGACTTTGTGTTCTAATGCCTTCCAACAAAGGGATGATACCTCAGAAGTAGTTTTGATCCTACATACTGTATGAAAAGTCTTTCAATATGAAGATAGAGGATCAATTTTTTTTAATTTGTTCTTTTTAGATATACATGACAGTAGAATGTATCCAAACATGTTATACATATATGGAGTATAACTTTCCATTCTTGTGGTTGTACATGATGTGGAGTTACACTGGTTGTTCATATATGAACATAGGAATGTTACRTTCAGTTCACTCTATTGTCTTTCCTATCCCCATCCCTCCTCCCTTCTCTCCATTCTCCTTTGTCTAATCCAATGAACTCCCCATCCCTTATTGTGTGTTAGCATCCACATATCAGAGAACATTCAGTCTTTGGTCTCTTGGGCTTGGCTTATTTCACTTAGCACCATAGTTTCCAGTTCCATACATTTACCTGTGAGTGCCATTTCATTATTCTTTATGGCTGAATAATATTCTATTGTGTATGTGTATACACACACACAAAACACACCATTTTCTTTAGGATCAATGTTTTATATACTTAAAAATAAATCTTCCACCTTACAATGTGTGGCTAATTATATAATGAAAGTAAGCACCAAACTACTTACAATATTATCTCAGGCACCTTATCTTAGTTCTCTTGAGTAGAAATGCCTTCAAAAAATTAAAATTAGCCTTTTTTGGGCTGAAGTTGTGGCTCAGTGGCAGAGCACTTGACTGACATGTGTGAGGCCCTGTGTTCACTCCTCAGTACCACATATAAATAAATAAAATAAAAGATCCATTGACAACTAAAAAATTTTTTTTTAAAAATCAGCTTTTTAAAGAACCTTTATTTTCTATAAAACTGCTATCAAAGTTGTCTATTTTGTAACATATCCTCAATTAGAAAGGAAATTGCATAGTAGAAATGTATTCAATATTTCTGGAGGAACAGCAAGTCTCTAAAAGTTTAATGTCAAGCACGCTAATCATCATATAATACTGGAGTGCTTCTACCACAACAGGAACTGAGTAACCTATGGAATTTTTWAAGTATTTTTTTAGCTGTAGTTGGACACAATACTTTTATTTTATTTCTATGTGGTGCTGAGAATGGAACACAGTACCTCACACGTGCTAGGTGAGCATTCTACCACTGAGCCAGAACCCCAGTCCCTAACCTATGGAATTTTCATGAGTGCTACAATAGTGAGAAAGCTCAACTAAACACTCTATAATCACAACTATTCTTGCCAAGGTTTCAAATTACTTAAAATGCTTTACGGATTTAGGCAAACTGGTTAATAAAATAAATAGATGAATGAAATTTCTTTTTTTAGTATTTATTTTTTAGTTTTTTTGGACACAATATATTCATTTTTATGTGGTGCTGAGGATCAAATCCAGTGCCTCACGCACCTCAGGCAAGCGCACTACCACTTGAGCCACATCCCCAACCCAAATGAATGAAATTTCTAACCTATCACCAGGAATTTAATTGTGTAAAATTATCCAAACATTAAAAAACTTATACTAGAAAACCAACATAGAATACACACAATTTAAAGAGAAAAAATCTTTATTGTGATATAAAATGCACTTATAAAATGTCCACAGAAGGCATGTTATTTTTCACTGCTATATAAATTTAGTGGGAATATGTTATTCACCATCTAGTGTCACCTAAAACATACTGTAAACAATGAGTTTTACTCTAAAATAAATGCATCACTGATTTTCAGCAATCATTGATTTAATAATAATTAAAGATTATATAATCACATCTATATTCTGGAATGTCCATTTACTTTCATGTAGTGTAGCAGAATTTAGAGTATAATTGCACATAGATGGTACAGAAAAACATTCACTACTAAATTATTTTATATCTTCATTACAGATAATATTCTTCCTGATTGAAAAATGACAGCATCAGCTATGGTCTGCAACATAGCTCCCAGATTCTTAATGCAATAATTTGTTTGTCTATTGGTGTACCCATAGAACAACTTAAAAGTGTATCTTTAGTAAACAAGTGCAACATTACTGTCAACTATATTGCATGTTTAAATATTATAGTCTAATTATTTGTAAACAAACAAAAATCCCACACAAATACTCTTAAATCTATTTTTTAAATCTTTCAACCCATAATTATTCTTATATGCTTTACTTAAACACACTGAATTTCTGAAAGGTGCATGTGTTATCTTAAATAATAAGGTTTAGCAATGAGTGCTTCATATTTTTTCTATGAAATGTGCATTTCTGACATTTGTTATACGCAGCATGGAGTTTAGGTCAAGAAATTCCAAATCCTGGACACCCACAGTTCATTTTGAAAACTCCTTAGTTATGGCTCTGCAGCAGGTTTAACAAATTAAATACGAAGTGTTCTAGCTCCCTCTATTTCAAGTATCAAAGAAATATGAGGCTCAAAATCTCTCTAGGTTATAAATGAAAATGCAAAGGTTTAGAGAACAGTTAAATGTGTTTTGAAATAAGATACTAATTGAAACAAGATCATTAGCTAGTTATTTATCTGTGTTAAGCTGTTAACCTCTAAAACTTCTAAACGCTTTTATATCTGAATATTTGCACAGAAGTGATATAGAACATAAACTACCCATAATTACAGAGAACAAAGTTTAAAAATTTTTCAATATTTTTTACTTTAGTTTGGTATCCTTTTGAATTATATTAATTTAAATTTCAATCTGTACATAAACATTTGGCCTCATAGTACTTATAATGAAATGATTTACTTTGGAAATAGACATTTTTTTAAAGCACTAGAAAAAAGAACTTCTAAGGCTATCTTTTGATGTTATCAGAAATATTGCAATATAGAAAACATCTGGTACCCTTAAAGTTTCAGAGTGAGCTGATCTTCAGAAATTTTAATGCCATTTAAAAAAAAAAAAAAAAGTCAAATAGAAAAGACTGCTGCAGTAAAGCACTGTTTCTAAAAGTTGTAGACATGATCCCAGTTTGTCAGTACAGTTCCTCAGAATAAGCAATTTCTACAYTTTCCTAGGCATACTAAATTTTCAGCTTAGAAAACAATCTAACCTGGTCCTTAATTATTCATCAAGTAGTATGAATATTTTAAGGTCTTTCTGCTTCCCTTAAAAAAAAAAATTCTGATGTCTGATCAAACAGTAATAAGTAGATCCCACTTTAAGACATCAGACTTTCTGGAACTGGCCCATCTATATAAAATTTTAAGAATTATGTGAAAGTGTGGAATCAATATTCTATGAAAACAGTGTGACAAAATTAAACATTACTAGGTTGAAACCATTTCTAGCTTTAACTCAAAAATAGAAATCATGAGTCTTCTATAACGTTAATTTTAAAAACACACAGAAGTGAAAAGTGCTATTTTTCAAAAAGTACGATTTTTCTCCCTACCATATATCAACATGGAATGATTTCAGTTCCCCCGTACTAAAAGCTGTACTTTTAAAAAACTAGTATTGCAATGCTTAATATAACAATTTTAATCAGTAGTGGCTTCCGTTTCAGCTGGACCCCGAATTAGTCTTCGAATTCCTCTTTTTCCTGCTGGACCTTTTGGTTTTGCAAAACTTTGCTTATGTGCATGCTGTTTGGGATGTACTTCCTCATAAAGGAAATCTGCAGTCAATTCATCCCCATTGTCTATCTCAATCTGCAAAGAGGAAATACTAATTTGTGTGACACAATATAAAAAAGCATAACATTCAAAACCTAATATAAGCAAAAAGCCRGTTTTTAGGTATGAATGTTCATAAGCAAATGCATAATACCCATTTCAGTAAAACAGAATCCAGGACCATATATGTAAATTGTTTCACCTCTTTTTCAGGGTATGCTATATGAATTGCTAAAATACATACCCAACTATAACCACTTTCTATTTGGTTCCCTCTTACTGTTCCTATTTAAATACGTTTAAAAATAGAAGCTACTTATTACATGCTCAAGTTGTTCTGCTTTGTTTCACTATATATTCAAGAAACATCACTCATTACTTCATCACTTGGTTCACTTGAAATCATGCTAGAACAGATGTAGGCAAAGTGATCTGCAGGCCAAACAGAGCCCAAGTCAAGACTATTTTATATTTTTAAAGGGCTGTAAAATATAAAAACAAACAGAACATGTGACAGGGACCATATGTGGCCTAGCAAAACCTAAAGTGTTTACTATCTGATTCTTTGTAGAAAAATAAATCAGCCAATCCTTGCTGTAGAGGTGTTACCCATAGTACAGTGATTCTTACAATCCTAATGGCTCACACAGTTCAGTATCTAAAATACTGGTAGTCTRAAAGGACCTGTATTTTAAAAGTTGAAGAGCTCAAGAATAAACCATTTCTTTCCTTAAGGCTTATCTGCACTGAAGAAAATAAATTTAAGAAAACTAGTAGCTTGGTTCCCAAAACTCATATGTTTATGCCAACTACTTCCTTTCTTAATAGCCGGAATGATTCCCAGAGATCCCCAGATTCATAGCCGGAATGATTCCCAGAGATCCCCAGATTCACAGATATAAACGGAGACTGTAGTTGTGTATTAATAAGAAATCCAGAATTAATCACAAATACGTAGCTCCAGCAGCACTCTCCAACAGAATTTTTTAAATGGATGGAAATGTTCTGTAAGTGCTATAACTCCCAATACTGATTAAGAAATTGAATTTTGAATTTTACATACATTTATATTTAAATTTAAATAGCCACTTATGATTTATGGCTAYCATATTAGATAGTGCAGATCTGTAGAGAGATGAGAACAATGATAGCTCATCTCTAAGTACGTATAGGATACCCTAAGGATTCAGGAAGAGAACAATAAAAATAAACGTTTTCACTTATAACTCATAATGTACCCTGTCGTACATGGAAATGATAATAAAAAAACTAGTGAAAACTGAAGATTTTAAAATAGATGAGCCTACCTTTCTGATTATATCCATTTGTAGCTGTCTCTCGACAATTTCTAGCAGAGGACTCTTGCAGCTAGAGTATAGCATCCGTTCTCTTATACTGCATGTGTATCCAGGCATTGAATAAATAAAAACTGTTAAGTTAAAAATAACAACAAATACAATCAGTAGCATATCAATTAAAGCAAGTACATAAACCACATAAAATTATAATTAAGCCACTGGACAAGAAATAAATAAGAATATAGTGCTGAAATATCAATAAGCAAAGTGAAAATAACATATTAGAAATAATATACTATATATATATATATACCTATGGACTCTAAGTAGTCTCCTTCATGGGAATGTTTATACAGGAAGAAATGATAACGTGCTGAATCCTTGGGAATCCTCTTTGGCAAATCTTTCAGTTCTGTATTTGTTGTGTTGGCCAAAATTATAAATTCATTTTTTATATCTATTTCCTATCAGTAAGAAAAAAAATGTTCATTAAAGCAGAGATTAAGTTGAAAGTTTTTTTAATATATGTTTTTTTTAGGTGTAGGTGGACACAATACCTTTATTTTATTTATYACTTTTATGTGGTGCCAGGGATCAAACCCAGTGCCTCATGCATGCTAGGCAAGTGCTCTACCACTGAACTACAAACCAGACCTAAAGTTAAAATTTTATAATAAAAAACCTATAATAAGCCTGTAATCCCAGCAGCTCAGGAGGCTGAGGTGAAGGATCACGAATTCAAAGCCAGCCTCAACAACTTAGGCCTTAAGCAACTCAGTGAGACCGTCTCTAAATAAAATACAAAACAGGACTGGGGATGTGGCTCAGTGGTCAGGTACCCCTGAGTTCAATCTTCAGTACCCTCCCCTCATAAAAAGCTGCAATACAAAGGGGACTTAGTTCTGAATTGTTTGACATTTTCATAATAAAACATATAGTTTTTGTAATTTTTAAAAACGAGTAAAAATAGTCAAGAAATAAATTTTAATAAAGTTCTTAAAAAATAAACYTTATACAAGCTGTAAGCTACCAAAAAAAAGCAGTCCTTCATAACAACCCTTATACTTCTCTTACCAACTGCACATAGTTGAGCTGTCTGTTGTTTAGTTTTTCCAAAGCCTGGAAAGCTTCCCGAGAAATAGGAAATGCTACTCCTTGTAGTGTTTGATGCTTAGTGTCCACACCCACATCAGTTTGTACCTAAATATGATAGATACAATAATTTGCAGGTAAAACTATAGCAATTAGCAGTGTCCTATGGCAAAAATGAGAAAACCCAACATCTATGACATAGCATCATTCAACCCTTTCCCAATCTATAATTAAAATAATTAAAATTAATACCTAAAACACTGTGAATTTAAAAAGCAAATTATTTTTCACATCTGTTCATGATCCACTAGCACTGTGTTGACATGCAGAGTCCATGGCACAWCTTGATGAAAACGTTAGGAGTGAATATTTGAGTAAGTGTGCAGTTTTAGTGGAAATTTGTTGAATTTTTGTTCTCTTTAATCTTCGCTATGCTTGGTTTGGCACAATTTCAAAGAGATATACAAACTTTTTAAAGTGTCACCTGATCAACCCTTTTAAGAACAAAATTTTACTTAAATTTACAAATCATAAAATATATGCAGAAATTTACTTGGTTCTCTTGGACATAAAATACAACACAAACACCATGCACTGAATTGAAAGAAGTACAAACAATATGCAAATACACAACACAGCTCAACAAGCTATACTACTGCAGAAGTTCCAGACGTAATAGCTTTCTTTACTAAGAGTATAAGTGTGCATGGATTGGAAGAGGGGGATTTTTCAAGAAAGCTTTCAATGAACATGTTTTAAGATTTTTATACCYGATAAATAATAGCTAGGGTAGAGTCTCATTTGCTGTGTTTCATCAGAAAGTTAAATACAAATTTTACTTTTTAAAAAATGAATGGAGATTCTACAGCATGATACTRGATAATGAAAACATCATAAAACATATGCAAATGCATACCCCAATATGATCCTCTGGGTTCTGATTGCAAGGAATAAAACAAACTATCAAACTTGTAAAAAAAAAAAAAAATTCACATTAAAAAAAAACCCCATTCAAATAATGAGTTAAAATAATATAATGATAGATTCTTGCTACTAATTAGTGATATTTAACCCTTTTCCAGACCAATTCCTATTTGTATGATACTCAAACTACTGAACTGTGGTTTGGGTTACTTGTTCTTTTCTATAAAATCCCAGTAGAAATACATTAATGATTTCAATATTCAATTAGAATGTCTGCAGAAAACACATTAAAATATGATTAAACTATAATGTGGTTGAAATTTATTGACTCATATGCTCAATAACTATGCAAATAACAATCTTCCACACTTATCTCCATCAAAGTTCATAGAAGCTAATTTACAAAGCTTGTAGAAATCTTGTACGTTCTACAGCATTTTTATTTTTTCTCTTTAACCTTACTATTCTCTGAAAAACATTTTAAAAAATCTGCTTCAGGCAACCTTATTAGATATGAAATTCTTTGCAACACACACTTCCCATTTATACAGTATTTAAAGCACAGAGTACAACAGTTGTATTTCTAACAGAAGATTTATTGTTGTAACGTACATTTGAGGAGAAACCTACTTATTAAACTAATAAGGAGTTTAATAATTATTTTTAACTTTCAAACAAAAATACATTAACCACACAGGTTTAACTCCAAACTAAACAGAATAAACCTAACTGTGCTAATATCTTTATTCTCCAGTTACCACTATATCTATTAATTAAGAATAGGGTATTCTGAAACACTTATAATCTTGCAAGCATTTCAAAGTTGTAATTTACCTCATTAATTTTAATCTGTCGTAATTCCTCCTCAGCTGCAGTCAATGGGGCAGGGGAAGACTGTGACAGCAAGTATTTTTTATATCCATGTAATGACACATCTTCCTGTAAGCATAGAAATGAACTATTATCAGTAATTCTCTAGACATAAAATTGGAGCAAAGTTACTTTAGGAAAAGCAAAACTATTAATTTACTAGAAATGAAATGAAATGAAATGAAATGAAATGAAAAAGCGTTAAGAATTTTATTTCTTTTAAAAAATCCCCTATTTTGAATATTTTAAAGGTTTCAAATTTTCTTAAGGGGAATGTCTATACTTTATTTCCTGAAGTTTTATAATGATTACATCTTTTGTATGAATTTGGTGGTGGTGACGCTGGTTATGATTCTAGTATATAATTGCAATTAACCTTCTGGGAATAACTGTCCAGTAATTATGCAATAAACAATGTATAAATGCAATAAATATAAATATATAAATATAAATGCAATAAATATAAATATAAATATTTATTTATAAATATAAATAAATATAAATATATATTTATATTTACTTATATTTATATAAATATAAATAAATATAAATATAAATGCAATAAATATAAATATAAATGCAATGTATAAATGCAATAAACATTCTGAATTTCATATTAAAATAATTATATAATTTTTCTATAATTATTCATGGAATATTATTATAGTTTGTATGTTAAAAGAAAATACTTCAAAGAGGTCTTCATATCATCCAAATTTTGTGGTTTGGAAGACAAACTCCAAAGAGAATTCAACCCAACCCACAATTAATGGTGAACAAGCATCATATTCCCATTTATTTTCTTGGGCTATCTAGTAGATTATATTACTTTATGAATCAGGAAAGCTCTGAACAAGTCAATAACAACAACAAAAAAAATCTGTTAAAAACATTTCAATTTTCTTAATTTGTGTGTATATGAATAAATACATTTATTCGCCATGTGAACATTTCAAAAGGAAAAGTATGTTTTAGTAGAACCAATTCTATAAATTCAAAATTTTATATTCTTTAGAGTTAACTTACATATCATGAAATACATTTTCTCTCTTATCCTTTTGTGTACTGATTCACCGATCTGAATTCTTATGAATCACCCATTATCTAGGAGTTCTTCTTATTATTTTATTTATAATATCAAGAATCCACATAAAAATATGTTTTAGATGGGCACAGTAGTGCACACGTATAGTCCCAACTATCAGAGAGCTGAAAAAATAGAATTGCTTGAGGAATTTGAGACCAGTTTAAAAAACACAGTGAAATCTCATCTCTTACAGAAAAAAAAATTGTGTGTGTGTGTGTGTGCATAAGTTTTATACCTTTACTGTTCCAAATACTTCATCTTTAATGTGGCCACCTCCAAACTCCTTTTTTAAAGTTGCTCTTGTTGCTGCATACAACATTTTTTGCCGAACCTATTCAGTTGTGAAAATTTACTTAGAAGTTTACAGATAAAAACATACCATTTCAAAAGAAAGCAAATACTCAATGTATGAAAATATTCAAGCACATTAAAAATAAGTTGGTAAGCTGAAGTTCATATTGTCAAGCCTATAATATGCTAAAGTATATGTATATGAATAACCATCATAACATGAGTATGTCAACTGTCAATGGCTATGGTAGATTTTTAAATTATATGTCACATTTTTTGTAAAGTGAGGGAAAAACCCAATTTTTAAAAAGTTCCTCATTTTTCAAAGCACAAAATTAAATCCATTAAAAATATTTTAAAATATGAGGAAAAAATACTGAAATGAGGTAACCTGGATAGTGACATTTTTCCCAAAGCTAGATCAGATATTATCACTGAAATTGCTAAAAATCAAATAGTCATGGCTTACTTATGGCATATACCATTCTATGAGGCGCACAGAAATGAAAAGAAATACAATACATACTATTATGTAGGAGTTTACTACTATCTATGGAAAGCTACTAAAGTTAACTACCAACTAGCAGAAATAATTTCCTAATCCAGAAATAATTTCCTAATCCAGAAATAATTTCACAATCCTAAATGGTAAAATGCAATATTTCTTTTAGAGAGATTATGTAAAATTAAGATGGAATCATGTTTTTTAATTTTTTTTTTTTAGTTGCTGATGGACACAATATCTTTATTTTTATTTATTTATTTTTATGTGGTGTTGAGGCTGAAACCCAGAGCCTAACATATGCAAAGCAAGCACTCTACCACTGAGCTACAACCCCAGGCCCTGGCATCGTGTTTTGCAAATGGTTTAAGAATTATCTTTTAATACGAACTTGACAATTCTTAAAATACTAGGTAGTATTCATATATTAATTTCATCTTTTGTTCTATTTAGTCAGTCTACTACCAACCTTTCTAAATGAAATATTTGTTAGTGTGCATGCCCATCACATGAATGATACCTATTAATAATTTATGAATATTAACAAAATTTAATATAATCTTCATTTAGTTATCAGAATTGTTATTACTCTCAGGGCAAAACAGCTTCATTCTTTAGAGGCAGAGTCAATTATAATTGCCCCAGATTTAAAATTTTTAAATCAATAATAATTCTTTTGATTTCAAGGACAAAATTTCTGAATCTAAGCACATTATTCCTCATTCCACAATACCAATCTAAGAATTATCCACATGATCGATCATTCCCTTCTACTGGAAATGACTACTGTTTATTAACCTTCATTTGGCCTAGAAATATTTCAGAAAATTTAAAAAAAAATTCTAGCACTTAATGGTAAACAAACTAAAATAATTACTTACATGAGAATGATCTGGAGACCATGCAATGAATATCCATTCATATCCCTGAGCATTCTGGGAATCTAACCTGAATAATATATAGCATGGCTGCTTGTCCTCCAACAGAGGTAAAATAAAGGAATCATAATCTTTATCCCAGGAATCTGAAGGCTGACTACATGATCCAATCACAAGTTGTTCTATGAAAAGAAATTTTTAAAAAGACAAATAATTGGTCTGAAATACCAAATTTAAAATAGAATATATACAAATGATCATAATAGTTTAGTTTAATGGTTGAATAATGATGATTGAATATATTTCTTTCAAAATGTCTATGCTATAAATTACCAACAAGACACATTTAAATAACTGTATTACCACTTAAAACTAGCATTTCTGAAATTAATATTGAACTGTAAGACATTTTAAATAAAATTAGATTTACCAATTTTGCTCAGATTTAAAATTTGCCTCAAAGCATAACTTGTTATCTCCATTTCTAAGTGCTATCTGCCAGAACTGAGTAAAACTGTGGATGAATTCTTCACACAGAATTTTTTGCACATATGCACAAAGGTATTCACTACAGTACTATATAGTAACAGTGAAAACTAGAAATAGCCTCAACATTCATCAATAAGAATAAATAATATGTGGCAGAGTTATATGAAAACATTCTACTTAAATAGGATCCATAAACTATCAAAATGCCTTATAAAAATAACATTTATAGAATATGCAGAATTAAAAAAATATGCAGAATAAGATAGTATGTAGTTTATGTGAATTTAAAATACTCAAAACAGCACTRTATTTTATTAAAGGATACATGTAAAAATAGATTGTACAAACCATTAAATTTTAGAAAATCATAAAATTTAAAAATTTTTTAAGTTTATAACATTGACTTTAAAAAGGCTTAAAGCAGGCTGGGGTTGTGGTTCAGTGATAGAGCGCTTGCCTAGCACAGGTGAAGCACTGGGCTTGATCCTCAGCACCACATAAAAATAAATAAATAATTGTTTTAAAAACACTTTATTTTTAAAAAAAGCCTTGAAGCAAGTATTTTAAAATATTTAAGTCATTAATTTAAAGGAAGAGATAGGTATTTGTAATTTATTCTTTGGAATTTATTTTTTTCTCAAAACAAACAAAAACACAGAAAACAATGACATAGGAAATAGTTTTCCTTCTGAAGAGATGCTAGTTAGATGAACTTTAACTTGTTTACTTAACTAGTTACTTAGAAAGTAATGACATTTAAAATTTTAGCTCAATATTGCTAAAATATGCTGCTTTTCAGTATACATTTATTCCTTTGAATATTATAATATCTATAAACAACTGCTGATTTTATAAACTATTCTGGTTTTGTTTTTCTGTCTTTACAGTATTAGAGATTGAACCCAGAAGCCCTCTATCACTGAGCTATATCCTCAGCCTGTTTTGTTTGTTTGTTTGTTTTTTAATTTTGAGACAGGTTCTTGCTAAGTTGCCGCTGGCCTGGAACTTGTGACTCTCCTGTGTGTACCTCTGAGGTAGCTGGGATTATAAGTGTGTGTTAATGCACCCAGCTGTTTTAGTATTTTCAATAGACAAGCAGAACTAGAAAACAAATTAGATTTACTTCCAGTTTATTAAAGGACAAGTTATTTTTCCAAAGCAAAATATTTCCAAGTATTTAAGAAAATAGGTCATTGGAAGATCTTAACACATTCAACAATCAAGTACTTATAGCAATAACCGTACAAATTCAAATCTATCTGATTTCAATTCTCCTAAACCAACCATTTTCCCAGTTTATCCAATTATTTCTAAAAAGTCAACTTAGAGTTTGTTAATTCTCAGAACTTTCCCGAAACAAGAAAAGGTAATCATTTCTGTAGTACAGGTTGCAATCAGATGGAAAAAATGAAAGACTACTTCAAAACAAACTTTACCAAATAATAAATTCACAAGCTACCTTTTTTCCATTTTTTATAATCACCCGTTTACTGATTTCCATACAGAAAAGAATGAAAGCMCTGTCATTAGAAATAGTGATGCAGAAATTTGAGACACAAAAAAGCATAAGAAAGATGTTACACTAAAAATAAGCTTTATGTTTCTCTGATAACTACAGAATTCAGAAGAAAAACAGGGGCCTCTTTAGCAACCTGCACAAAATGTGAAAAATCCAAAGTTCTTGAGTGAAGGTTTGAACTTGCTTCATACTAATTAATAGTTCGAATTACTGACAATACTTAACAAATTTAAAGTATAACACCTAGTAATCCAGGGACACAAAACATTTAAAAGTTTAACTAACCATTTTCAATAGATATTTTCAGAAGTCTGTATTTTCCATTTCTGGCTCTGGCAAAGATATCTTTAACATCTTCACTTGCTGTGGAGAAAAGGGAAAATAAACCTAGTTTTTATACTTAGAAGTACTTTATTTTACTATCTAAATATAATGAAAAAATAAATTATAATACAAAGGAAAAGCTGGAGCATCCTCTTATTATCAGTATTATAACATTTAAAGACATAAAATAGTGGGTATTGAGTACAACTAAGAAATATAAATGTTAATATAAGCTCTTCAAACATTAATTAATATACATATTAACATATGTTCTTTAAACATATTAATTCCAATCCGTCTTAGCTAGATAATTCTACAGGAATAACACAAAAGTAAACATACTGAASRTACTCAAACCAAATAATCAGCAAATTATTGTCTTGAAAACGCTTTTACTACTTGTTTGAAAATGTTGAAAAGTTGTTTTCATTGTCTTCTAGTTCAATTTCAAGCTTGTAATAGACAGCTTTTTTATCAATTCATTCTCTGTATATGCCTATTAAAAATAGCAGTATCAGATATACTATCCTGATTAAACAAAAAAGCCAGTTAATACCTATTAGATCTTATACTTCTTATTTCTTGTATTTCCCCAAAAGTTAAGCTCATTAAAATACACATTTAATAACACAACTTTTCTGCACCTATTAAAACTTCAATTTCGTTTGTTTTTTTCTGTTACCAGCAAGAGGACGCTTTAGGCAGTGCTTACTATGAGGTTCAAGCATGAACTCATAACTGCATATTAAAACACTAAAATTAATGCGGACAAATAAAACAATGCTTTTAGAACTGAGACTTTTTGCTTGTGTGTCCATGAGACTGGAGGTTTGCGAATAGTCAAAAGACCCTTAAGAGTACAACATACAATTAAGTGTTTATCTGGGGGAAGGATTCATTGCCTATTAACAGGAAGAGGTTGAGTTTATACTGGAACTCATTAAGAGATCGTGAGTAACCCCGGGACATATTATTTGATTCTGATGAGGTGAGCGCTTCCAGGCTGCCCATTTTCAAACCAGAAAATAATGGAGGGCAGATACACAGTAATTGCACATTCAACTGTCGACACGGGATACAATTAAAGGCAACCACACAGATCAGACTTTTTCAGTTCCCCTGGAAAGGACCTAGGAAAAAGATCGAAATGCACCYCATCCTCAGGATTTCTCTTAACATAGTCTACGCTCACATTCGACAGAAAATGCGGAAAAGAGTTTGGGAAGCACTCTGCAGATTTAAGAAAGACCCTGATATGTTTCTTTTTACAATCAAAGTCTAGTAAAAAGAAAACTCGCCCAGCCCRACAGATAAAAAAGAATCCCAGGCGCCTCCACTCTCGCAGCTCTTCCCAGCCTGACAAAAGGGGGAAAGTTGAGGTAAAGCCGGGGCACGGAGGGCACGCCCCCTCCACACCGGCCGCCTCKGAGAGCAGTTTCCGACGCTCCTCCGAACTCAGGGTTGCCTGTTACGTGGCGGCGGCCGGGGCTGGGAGGGACGCAGGCCGGGAGCACCCGGGAAACTGGAGCGCCCGAGAAGAGGGGCAGGCTAGACCCGCAAGTCGCACTCCCAGCGCCRCAGCCTGCCGGTTTCCCGTCGCCTTCCGGGAGTCCCTTCCCCGAGGGCCGCGCCAGGSGCCGTTACCTTGGATGCCGGTCTGGTGGGACATGGCGGCGGCCGCGGGCTCCCGGCTCCAGCGCTGAATGCAACGAGCGGCCCCGGCCGGCAGCTCCAGGAAGTGGCAGCTCCTCCGCCCGCCGCCGTACGTCATCCGCCCGCGACCCACGGCCGCCCCGCCCCGCCCAGCCCCACGAGGCCGACGGCCCCCCTAACGCCCCAGCCGCCCGCCGCAGGTCCACTCCCCCGCTCGCCCGCGCCGCGCTCCCTGCCAGGGGTCTATATCTTTSGTCATTTGTAGTCGCTCCTTCGATTTCGCCAGCCGGAAAGCTGGTGCTAGCACCCTGCATACCCGCCGCCCGCTGGCTCTGCAAAGGATGCTCAAAAATGGAAATGACCATTTTACTACACGTATATTTTCACCTTAGAGGATGTGCACAACCTCCTTCTTGGTTTACTCTTCTTGTGATCCACACAATATGATGTAAAGAAAAGGTCTATCCTGCATCCTCCCTTTTAAGAATGGAAATTAATATATAAGAAGGTCTTTATTTTCCCCACGATTTAAATAAATCTCCAACTGTTGACTTGACTTTTCAGTTGGGCATATTTAAACCACGTTTTTCTTTCTCTTCATTCCCAAAAGAGGCAGTCACTGAGAATGAAAAGATTAGTATTGAGTGTTCCTCTGTGGTCATTTCTACCCCCTGGAAACTGTAAATCTGCTCTGCTCTAGATTGGCCCTCTATTCTCTTAGACAATTATTCAAATAATTTGCATGATAGCATATATCAGTTGAAATTCTTTCTCATTCTCTGTACAGTTCCCTTCTGAAAGGTAACTTTAGTATTTATGTTTGTACAGCTTTTGTACTACTCCTGGGTATAAATTAAGATCTTGTTGTTAGGCCCTTCGGCAAAAAAAAAAAAAAAAAAATGCACAAAATTATTATCTACTTATGAACATACTGTTCCCACCAGCAATATAAGCATAAATTAATAAAATCACTCTTTGAATACAACATAGTTTAAATTAGTTACTAAATAGCTGATCTGTGCAGTTTTCTTTACAGAGTCCACAGCAAATAAGGTTGCTACATTTTGTTGCTTGTTATTGAACTCTCCCTCAAACAAATCCTCCTATTCAGGAATAAGCACAATTTAATCTGAGTTTCATGACTTGTTTGGATTTTAAAACAAAGGGTGGCATTTAATTCTAACCAAGTTCTTCCTGACACAATGGTTCACCCTGATTTACTAGTTTTGATTGCATTGTTGAGCAGAGAAAAAAATTGCAGAGTTCACTTGCAACTTTTTGGCTGATTCATGTCCTGGTGACTAGGGAAAATTGCTTAAGGAAGTTGGCACTGCTCAAAAGTACTGATGAGAAAAAAAAATTGACTCTCCAACATTGATGCTTAGAAAAGACCACTGACTATATGCTCAGCCCTGAAGAAGAGGAAAGTCCAGTTAAATTAAGACCACTCTGGCATCCTCCAGATAGTGCTAATTTTCTACCAAAATACTTATTTTCTACAGTAGTTTGAATTAAAAGCTGTAAGGGCCTTGGTTGCATTGCTCTGCCCTAGCCACAAAATTTTATCAGTTTTTCTCATCTAATGTATCTCCAGTTATTGAACATTTGCCTTAGAGCTGGCCTTGGAATTTTATAGTGATTTACAGTTTTCAAAGAATATATATCCATGTACAAATATGTATGTGTATGAGTGTGTACACACACACACACACACACACACACACACACACACACACACACTATATTAACACCAACATGACCCAATCTGGTAGGCTAAATGACCAACATAATCCTGTCTGGCAGGTTTTATTATTTTTTTTTAACTTTAAGAAATTTGGAAATTGAGGTATTGAGGAACTGAGCAGACATCAAGGCTAGGACAAGTATAAGGAACAGAAAGCATTTAAGATAATGTATACCAAAAGGTTATGTATTATAAGGATATAGTAGAATCTCATGGATCCTAATGGCTTAGCTCTTCTGCCCCTTGTTTTCTATCTGCCCCCCCCACGCACCATGGAGTTTGCTTATGCAGTCACAATGACAGAATACAGCAAGGCATGGTGGCCTTTGTATATAATCCCAATAATTTGGGAGGGAGACTGAGGATTACAAGTTGGAGACTAGTCCAATCTTCAGCAATTTTGCAAGACCATATCTCAAAATGAAAAATAATAAGGGCTGGGGATATTACTCAACAGCAAACTAAAAACCAACCAACCAAACAAACAAACAAAAAAGATTGTGGCCACAAATTAACAGTCCCAGTTCCAGCTTCATGAAGAGATTTAATAGTTTTGCTTGCTTGCTTTCTTTTTAAATAAGTCCAAATTCCTAGAAGGAAGCATATGATTAATTGCCCTTGGTTCACAAGTCATATCAGTCTTGGTCTCACTGACTACTTAGATCACAGTGCCCAAGAATAAAAGGCAATTATCATAGAAGAGACAAAAAATCTTGGGTTTGGAACACAGGCTTAGAATATAGTAAAGCTGGTGCTAGAACCTAAGTTCAAGGTCGGTCACAAACCCACATGCATGCAGGAGTGGGGACAGTTAAGTAACATAAATTAGTGAAGTTGACAAATGCTGACTGTGGCACTCGGGAGCACATGTTCCCCTGAAAGGGAGCTGCTGCTGCTCAACTCCAGCTGACTGATGCCCTATGGGAATTCAGGTCCAGGGTAACAGATCTTCTGATTTTCAAGGATATAGGAAATTAGAATTTTATGTAAAATCTCTATTTCAACTTTTTAAAGTATGAAAATACAGAAGAACCATGCATAYATACAGATGACATTTGGTCTATGGATTTGTTGTTCATTTACGACCATGACCTGGATCTTCTATCTGGATAATTGTCAAATAATGACATCTAAAAATCTCACATCCTCTATAAATTCTTTATACGTAAGAGAATTAATGTGAACAGTACACATTTGTATATAGAGCAAATATATATAAAACTATAAAGAATTCTTTATCTTTCTTTTATCTGTGAAATAATTATATTATAAAATGTTGCATTATTTATTTTAGGCTTTTATATAGAAGAAAGTCTGATGTAGAATTAAAAATTGACCTATGAATTTGTATGACTATTAATGAAATTATTTAACCCCTCTCAGCTTTTATTTTATTTTTATTCATATACCAATAGTAATATCTTATAATTTATCATGGAAATAAAGTGAGACATGCCTTTATAAAGCTATTGTTTTAGATGTTCAATGTGTGTTAGGTTTCATATCAGATAGACAGCATTAAGTCCAACACAATATGTTATTATACAATATGCTTCAAAATAATCATTAAAACAGAGCAAATAATGTTAGATTGAATTTCTTAACATCATGAGCAATTATCCAAAGTTGATTTCTTCTGTTGGTTCCTGCAGTATCACTGTTAGCTACTGAGTCTTATATAACATCCTTAGATTTATAAAGCATCAAATTATGAAAAGAACACTTTGGGTCATAAAAAATGAGGATCGAACATTAAAGCAATGTACCTTAGCTGAAATTAACTTTTATCATAAGCATGTAATTAGTATCCCCAATGATCCCTAATAAACACCCGGCAAGCCTGCTAAAACTTTTAACAAAATGGAATTTATAACAGAAGATCCTTTCATTCTGATCAGGCTGTGTTTCTCTGAGTCACTGAGAAACAGAACAAAGAGTTTGGGTTAAAGATCAGTTCAAGGAAATAATATCTCTTTATTACTTTCCCAAGTGAAATCTGAACTGAAGTAATCCTAATAAATGATATGTATTTTCTAATGAATAAAACAGGGAACATTTTGGTTCAAAGCAGTTGTTGATAATGATAAGGATGCAACTTGGAATGAAAGTGCAGGAAAGCACAAAGCAGACAGCATATTAATGYATTATTTATAGTGGGATTTTCACCCTGGGTTGAAGAAGTACCTTAGCAACAGCATCTTAAATCTTTTTCTCCTTATCTCTAATCTCATTCAGGGTAGGATGGTTTAATTGGCTAATGGGAATATTTGCAAACCACTTTGAACATAACTGTCTCTCTCCTTGTTTTCTAAATCTTTTCTAGTGATGTTAATTAACACTTATAAAGCTCCTCTGATGATTAAACAGCATGTGCAGAAGATACCCTCTAATATTGAGTTCAATATGAGCAACAACTTTTTATGTCTTTCAACTATTTTTGCAGTCACAACAGATTCCAGCTCTTCCATGTTAGAGGAAAAATTTAAGAATCTGAAATCTGGCTGGGAGAYGGTGCAAGGGAAAATGTAAAGCGGAGTTTGCATAGCAGGGTTTTGTTTGTTTTATTCTATTGCATTATTTTTAAATTTTTTGTTGTTGTTGTAGATGAACACAATACCTTTGTTTTGTTTATTTTTATGTGGTGCTTAGGATCCATCCCAGTGCCTCACATGTGCTAGGTAAGCACTCTACTACTGAGCTACAACTCCAGTACTGTTGCATTATGTTTCAAAGAATAAGTTAGAAACAAAAAGTTCATAGCAATGGCGGGGCCGGGGGGGGGGGGGGGGGGGGGGGGGGGGGGGGTGGKGATGGTCATGGGATCATGGGAGGAATGGAGGAACTTTAGATAGGGTGAAGGGGAGGGAGGGGAAGGGAGGGGGCAGAGAGTAGGAAAGATGGTGGAATGAGATGGATATCATTACCCCAAGTACATGAGTACATGTATGAAGACACAAATTATGTAACTCTACTTTGTGTATAATCAGAGACATGAAAAATTGTGCTATATGTGTACTATGTATTGAAATGCATTCTGCTGTCATATGTAACAAATTAGAATAAGTAAGTAAATTTAATAAACAAGTTCATAGCAATAAATGAGAGAGGGGTGGGTGACAATACCTAGAGAGATTATGGAAGAGTTTTTAAAGCCTCTTTATGTTCTTTTTAAACTAGGTTTTGGAACTGCCTGGAGACCCTCTGCCCAGAGTTGGGATCCAAAATGGACTAACTTTTCACTAAGCACTGCTCCATAACAAGGACTTTATAAAACAGTTTCAATGTATCTATTATGGTGTTTGTTTGTTAAAAGTAAGCTAGATCCGTCTGGTGATCTTCATTTAGGGTTG